AGTGTCTTACACATGAGTGACCCCTAATATTTGTTAAATGATGGCCTGGATGGATAGATGAATGGTTGAAAGTGTGGTTGTGTTAGACATCAATTTCATTCCTAATTTTTAGGTAATGCATTTTTCATGTTCATTGTGACACGTATATATGGCTTCTACAGTTAAAATGAAAGAAAAGGAGCACTTGGTGTCCTCTCTGTGTGATCATCTTTTATGTGGATACCTATGTTGGGGAGGATAAAGCTGGCTACTGTAACAAGTGACTGCCAACGTTTCCGTGAGTTAACGTAATAAACATTTATTTCTTGCTCATGAAGCAGTCCAGTCAATTCAGCTGTGCTTAGCTGGCAGTGGCTTTCCTCCCATGATGACTGAGGCATCCAGGTTCTTCTGCCTTGCGGCACTGCCATCCCCTGGGGCCACAGGGCCCTCTTCAGCCACTCAGAAGGGGAACGGTAAGTGGAGAAGGCACACATGCTTCCTGAGACAACCTGGCCTGGACGTGACACGCATCTCTCCTGCCCACAGTGCATCAGCAACACTGTGTCACTGGACACACTGGGATGCAGGGTGGACTGGGAAATAGGCCCTGGCTGGACCACCGCCTCCCTCCTAGTACAAACTCATGCTAAGGAAAGGTGAGAGGGCTTCCCTGGTGGAGCAGTGGTTAAGAATCCGCCTGCCAGTGCAGGGGACACGGGTTCGAGCCCTGGTCCGGGAAGATCCCACATGCTGCGGAGCAACTAAGCCCGTGCGCCACAACTGCTGAGCCCGTGTGCCACAGCTACTGAAGCCTTGTGCGCCTAGAGCCTGTGCTCCACAACAAGAGAAGCCACTGCAGTGAGAAGCCCGCGCACCGTAACCAAGAGTAGCCCCTGCTCGCTGCAACTAGAGAAAGCCCTCGTGCAGCAACGAAGACCCAACACAGCCAAAAATAAATAAATAAATTTATGTTTTAAAAAAAGCACAAACTTTTGGTCAATAGCTACCATCTTTGCTGTTTAACTTCAAAATAAATACAATTAGCAATTAGCAAAGTTTTGGTTTTTTTTTTTTGCGGTACGCGGGCCTCTCACTGTTGTGGCCTCTCCCGTTGCGGGGCACAGGCGGCATGTGGGATCTTCCCAGACCGGGGCATGAACCTGTCCGTGTCCCCTGCATCGGCAGGCGGACTCTCAACCACAGCGCCACCAGGGAAGCCCAGCAAAGATTATTTTTAAGGAGAATTCCCAATGTTGTTTTGAAAAGAGCACTCTCACATATACTTCTAAATGACAAAAGGTTTTTTGCTCTAATTTCAAACTGCTTTATTTAGAAAGCAATTTGCAATATGTGTTATGACTCTAAGTTTTTCATGTCTTGGGATCTAGCGATCCTTCTGAGGATCCACACTAAGGTAACCTTCCAAAATGTAAGGTGTTGAACATAGAGTTATGCATAGCAACAAAAAGTTAGGAAAAATAGTGAAAACTTATTACTAAGAGAAAAGTTCTTTATCTTATTAAACATTTGTCCAATGGCATATCTATGTAGCCATTGAAATATTTATGAAGTATTCATGTTTTTTATGAAGCTTTATTTTTTTAGAGCAAGTTATAAAATTTTAAGAGCAGTATTATCTCAATTATTTAAAAAAAGAAACCAGTAGGAAAATACTGACTATACTAAATGTTAGCTGAGGCTGCTTCTAGGTGGTGGGATATGATAATTTCTGTTTTTTTCCATACTATTCAGACTTTCTAAAATTAATGTATATTACAACTTTATATTCAGAAATTAAAAAATAAAATTGGAGGGTAAGGAGAATGGCCTCATCCAAGACAGATATTACTCAGCAAAATTTGGTTGCATCCTTGCAGTAACTGCTCCCCAAGCTCCCATCGCCTGTCTCCTTGGCTGTTTTCCTCATTCTTGGTCTTGGCTACTGCCTACCCACCACCCCACCACCACCCCGGAACATCACCAGGTGAAGTCCTTGTTTCAGCTGAGCTTGGTCCCCTAATCAAGTACTAGTCAGTACTGCCCTTTGCTGCTGTGTCATTTGTCATTTCCTGGTAATAACACTACTTGCTCAGAATTTTAGATCTGATCAACTCTGTGATCTTCTAAGAATAAAATGATTAGAGCAGTTCTTTGAAGGAGGCTGATCTGGAGCAAGACATCTGGAAGACTGGCGTGTGATAAAGACGACATGATGCCTCTACCTCTTTATGTGGATACAGGATTCTCCATATGTCTCCAGGACTCTTCAGTTGCCTGTGAGCTCCTGGAACATGCCACCTGCATCATCTTGGCTTTTCCAGTGCCTAACATAGTTCTGATCCATAACTGGCACTTAATAAATGTTTCGAATGAGTAAATGACTAAACGGATGGAAGGAAGGGTAACTGTAATGGTGGTGATGGCTATTTGCTAATGGAGATCAGCCAGTCAATTAATATTTATTGAGAACCCATGATGTGCCACTTGGTGCTCAGAGCTAGATTCCACGAAATTGTAGTAGAAAAAAAGTGGATTGGTGCATCAGCTTGACCTGTAATCCAGTGTAAATGTGAAGGCTCAGGCATCTGTGAAGCCTTTTTAAGAGGCGTTTGGATCATCCTCCTAGTGCTAACTAAAGGATAAATGGTCCCAGGGCTACTGATCTGGATTAAGCATAGCTGGGCAGACCAGGCAGAGTTTAGTCACTGTTTAGTTGGTAGTCTGCCAGGGTGCAGTGGTCACAGGGTCAGACCAGGCAGAGTTTAGTCACTGTTCAGTTGGTAGTTTGCCAGGGTCCAGTGGTCACAGATAGGGTCAGCATGCTTTATCAAAGATTAACTCAAAGACTTCCCTGGTGGTCCAGCGGTTAAGAATCCGCCTGCCAATGCAGGGGACATAGGTTCGAGCCCTGGTCCGGGAAGATCCCACATGCCGCGGAGCAACTAAGCCCGTGCGCCACAACTACTGAGTCTGTGTGCCTGGAGCCCTTGCTCTGCAACAAGAGAAGCCACCGCAATGAGAAGCCCGCGCACCACAACCAAGAGTAGCCCCTGCTCACCGTAACTAGAGAAAGCCAACACGCAGCAGCGAAGACCCAGCGCAGCCAAAAAAAAACAAAACACACACACACACACACACACACACACACACACAACAACAACAACAACAACAACAACAAACTGAAGTGGATTGCATCAAGGATTTTACATTAAAAAAAAGATGAGGGGGCTTCCCTGGTGGCGCAGTGGTTGAGAGTCCGCCTGCTGACGCAGGGGACACGGAATCGTGCCCGGGTCCGGAAAGATCCCACATGCCGCAGAGCGGCTGGGCCCGTGAGCCATGGCCGCTGGGCCTGCGCGTCTGGAGCCTGTGCTCCGCAACGGGAGAGGCCACAACAGTGAAAGGCCCGCGTACCGCAAAAAAAAAAAAAAAAAAAAAAAAAAGGATGAATTCGACAGCTCATCTGCAGTCCATCGGTGTAGCAACCACCTGGGACCAGCTCTGTATGAAGCTGCCTCTGACTTTTGATCTGGCAACTTAGACAAAAATGGACCCCTCCCACCTCTCCCTGTCCTCTGGGTTTAACACAATCACCTGGGTTTCCCTAATTAGGTCCCTCAGATCAACAGTCCCTACAAGAAGTCCTTTCTGCCAGGACAGGCTAGGAACCTGAATGCCCTAGGGGCTCTGGGCCTTATCAATGCCGGTGCCACCCTCCAGGGGTGGGCAGTGCCTTGTCAGGGGCTCATTCCTGATTGGTAGTGTTAATGGTTCCCACATCCAGAGCCTCAAACTGCTTCAGTAGGAGTCTGGTTTCACCCGAGGACCTGGAATTCCAAGTGCATCCTGTCTTGTCTTTTATTTGCAGCAGCTCTCATAACAAATGCATAAAGAGGTGTTTATTCCAGAGGCCAGATGTGACGTCTATTGTCTTGAAAGCATTAAAAAGATTGGAAATAAATATTCCTTTTAAAATCTTATCTTGGATCAGGAGCTTAAAGTTAGCTGAATCCTAGAATCAATCACTCTTAAGGAATACAGAGGAATTCTGATTCCATTTTCATTGTCTTTTATTAATCCATGTTTCACTAACAGTCTAACCCTAAATAGTAATCCCAGTGACTTTTAGCTCTAAAAAAGATATTCGTTTGGTAGCTACTATTTTTGCAGTGTGTGTTTTCTCAGTCTGTACTGTGATTAGCATTTTATTGGGTCTGAGAGCCTTCAACTATGCGATCTTCTTAAACATTTCACTGATTTTACTTGTCGATTCCCCTGTTTTCATACAGAGAATTTTCCTTCAGAACTCCACCAGCACCATCACCAACAAAAATATCTGTTTTAAAGTATGTTGGTGATAATTGTTACCCCAAATTTGGCAAAAAAAAAAAAAAAAAAACGAAAGAATTACTCTTTTCCCCCAGCAAGGTCAACAATCATCTATGGACACATTGTAGCTTAATTCTAGGCAGACTTTAGTTTGTCTTACTGACAAACTTTTATTAACAAAAAAGAATACCTTTCAAAGATACAGATCTCAAGAGGATCTTATTTAAGACCGACTCAGTTAAGTAAAACAAAAGCGTGGGTGGACATAAATTGTGTGATTTCAAACCACTGAAGATTAATCAGGGCTGGGCAAGAAAAACGCGGTAGGGGAGGGACAGAAAGAGGAATCTTTTAAACGAATACAGACGAAGGAGCACCGGCCTTGCCCCAGTGAAGGCCTGGGGAGGAAGGAGACCTCCGCAGTGTCCGAGTCTGGGCCGGGGTCCATGTGCCCCCGGAGAAGCTCAGGCGGGTCAGCCCGCGGGACGCGCACGCGCGTACGAAGGGCACACCTGCCCGGCTGGCCGGGTGGGCGGGGCCTCGGCCGCGCGCTCGGTTGTGGGGGCGGGGCCTTCCCTATATTTGTGTGCGCCGCATCGCGGAGAGGTGATTGGTCGCTCTTGAACCGGAAGCAGTCGGCGGCGCACGGGCTCTCGGCGGGACGGGCTTCTTCCTGCAGCGGCTACAGGATGGTGGGCGGCGGCGGGAAGCGCAGGCCCGGCGGGGAGGGGCCGCAGGTACCGCGCGGAGGTTCAAGGGCGGCAGCGGGTCCGAGGGCGGCGCGGCGCGGCGCGTTTGCCCCCAGCCTGAGCGGAGAGCGGCGCCTCGCGTCCCTGCGTCCCCCGGGGGCGGGCCCGGGGCAGGTTACAGCCCGGGGTTCCCCCGGGGCCGGGTTGGCGCAGTCAGGGGCCCTCGCCCGGGGGGCGGGTTGACTCAGCCCGGTCCCCTCACAGCACGCTCCCCCAACCCTCTGGTCCGGCCGGCCCCGCCGAGTGTAGAAAGAGCCGCGGACGCCCCGGAACGAGGGCGTCCCCGAAGGCGGGAGACGCGGCGGAGGGGTGGCCGGGCGCAGCGCCGAGCTCGGCCGCGGGGAGGCCGGGGTGGGGACGGAGGGGCGCTGACCACGGAGGGGAGTCGGCTCAGGCTTTCGCGCGGCCTCACATGTTCTGTCACCACTGCAAGAGCAGCAGGGAGTGAAGCAGGAAAGAAGTAGAGGTTTCCAAAACTCCCTCTGGCTGGGCTGTCAGCTGGATGGCGTGAGACGGTGCAGGCGGGCCGCGTTCTGGGCGTTCTGTTCCCCGGTCCCGCTCTCCAGGAACAGAAGGGTAAAGGATAAGGGCAGCCCCTGAAGGGCACAGCCGTCCTAAACTCTAGTTATTAGGGATTTGGGGATGCAGCCAGCGTGTGAGCTCAAGCAGAGCTGAAAACACCCTTTTCTCCCTTTGAAAGGGCAGTGAACTTCCTTGACAGAGTGTTAGTCTTAGAAATAAAGCATCAAAAATTACGATGCGTCTACAGAGACTATGGCCAACAGTAATAGCCAGCATTTATGTACTCTGTGCTAGCACTGTTTGTGTGTTTTTACAAATAATTTATTCCTTGTAACACCCTTGTGATAGAGGTACTACGTAGGCCTTTTTTTTGTAGATGAGAGAACGGCACAGAGAGGTAACTTGCCCAGGGTGACAGAGCTACAAATGGGAAAAGTCAGGAATCAACCAGGGCAGCCTAACCATTATACTACACTGCCTTTCAGCAAGGTAGATTTAAGGCTCTTCTTTCTAACATCTTAAGTTTGAGCCAGTCTTTGGAAGTCTCACCAAAGGCGGGCATACACACAGAGGGGAGGCTGGGTCAGGATTTACATGCTCCTGCTGTTGTGTGTTTGCAGTTGAAGAGACAGCATGAAGTGGTTGGATCTGCTGGGGGGCCAGCCCACCTGGGGTTAAATGCCTGTTCTCCCACTTTCTAGTTAGGGACCCAGGGGAAGTCACCTAACCTCAGTTTCCTTGTCTGTAGAATGTGGATAACAGAATCTAGCTCATAAGGAATTTCTGAGGACTAAATGAGTTAATCCATAGAAGGAGTTTAGCACAGTGGCGTGGCACCATAGTAAGCGCATAACAAGTAGTTATTACTTACTATTTTTACTGTTATATTTATTACTGTTTGCTATTATCACCATCAATTTTTGGATCCCTATTTGAACAGCCTTCTTGTTCAGTTTAATTTTTTATGACCTCATATAGACATGTTATAATCCGTGGCGTGATACACTGTTATTCTTGGTCGTGGTCCTGTTTTACCTTATTCGTTTAATAATACGACAAACACCTGTGAGGCCGTTGCCAGGCCAAGCACTGAAAGGCTGACTGTGGCTCTCCGCGGCTCTCCATGCTCATGTTGCTGACCTGTCTGCCTAACTCCTTCCTGTCGACCCCATTCGGTGTAGCTACGATCCTGAGCTGTTTGTTTTCCTCTGTCTTCTTTTTATGGCTTTATCACCCATGAGTTTATGCCTGAACAGTATTTTTTGAACTTCACAAAAAGGCTATCATGCTGCATATAATCTTCAGGGACGTTTTTCTTCATTCAGCATTATATTATTAAGATTGATCCATACTGTGTGTGGCTTTGTTTCCTTTTCACTAAGCGTAATATTCCATTTTTTGAAAGTCCTGTAACCATTCTCCTGTCAATAGACATTTTCATTTGTCCTGTTTTCCACTTGTAAAACAATGCCATCAAGAACATTCTTGTATATGTCATCTGGTTCATAAATACACTTTGCAGACTTTGAACGATATCCAAAATAACATCAATAAACTTGAGCCTGCTGGAAGAGTGTGAATATGAGAAACATCAGGCTAGAATTTCTCAGGCGTGACCCCTGTGGATGTCTGGGCCAGATAGCTGTTTGTTAAGGGGCCTCTCCTGTGCACTGGAGGATGTTTAGCAGCATCCCTGGCCTCTACCCACTGAACGCCAGCAGCACACACACACACCCCCAAGTTTGTGCAACCGAAAAGGTCTCCAGATACTGCTAAACATGTCCCCTTGGGGGCAGAATACCTCGGGGTTGGGCAGCACTGATAGTACTGATAGCTGAAAAGGAAGGACAGGAAGGAAAGGATCCAGATTCCCAAAAAGAACAACACGCACGGCCGCTCCCAAGACTGAAGATGCGTACCCTCCAACCAAGCATTTTATTTTTGTGGGAGTAGGTCACAGATGTAGTAAGCATTCTAAAGCCTAGCATACTTACAGAATGAACCTATACTGCAGAGGTGCTGGAGCTGAGTTATAACCTAGTCTGGCCTTAAACGACCTTTTCTGAAATCATTGTTTTAACTGGCAAATCCCCTTGCATCCAGTTATTTCTGGCGATTTGCTTCTGGTGTGGTAACTGAGTCTGTTTAAATGAAAGGCACGATGACACCCTGTTTACCAAAACAGGGCAAAACCTGCCATTTTCTTATTCCTCTTTTCCTGCTGTTTACCTTTTCTTTTATACTTTTTGGATTTTTGTTTTCTGCGTTTCCATTATCTTAGGGAAATATGTTTAAAGAGTTGCTGTGTGTGTCCCTCTTGACACCTATATATTATAAGCTGTTCTTTCCTTTTATTCCTCACCCAGAAGAATCCCCAGATTTTACCCAAATACCGTTTATAGAGTTTTAAAGGAAACTCATAGAGTTGGGGTGAACAAAAATGAGCAGTATTGTTAAGCAGTCCAAGTTGCTGAAATTACTTTGGGAGAAACAAAGCTGTGTGTGTGCGGATTTTCAGTGTGAAAAAGCGGCCGCCGTGAAGAAGGGTAGATGCTGCGACGCCGACGTGCCCAGTGGCCTTCGAAAAGCAGTAGAAAGTCACTACAGGCTTGCTCTGCCTGAAGATTTCTATCACTTCTGGAGGTTCTGTGAAGGGCTTGATCCTGAACAGCCAGCTGGTGAGTTGCTCCAGAATCTTTCTCTGGCTTCTGCCAGTGGAAGAGACAGTAGGAAACTGGACCCAGGATCTAAACAGTTCATGGAAAAGGAACTTTTCCAAAGATGTTTCAAATGAGAGAAATGACACGCTATACTAGCAAAGGTACATCATTCCACAGCATGCTTTGTTGAGAGTTTGCAAGAAAACAAGCACACACTTCTGTGTGTTCCAGGACTTTTAGTATGACTTAGCAGTGCTGCCCCTAGGAACTTGTCTTAAGGGTTAGGTGAACCCAAACTATGTTAAATGATACTGAAACAAAAAGCAGAAAATGCCTTAAATGCTCATCAGTTACCCATCTTTCAGTGGGCATATATAGTTTTAAAAGAATCAGGCAGATTTTTAAGCGATGACAAAGTATCATGCCTGGAATATTTCGAAAGAAAAAAGGAGAGTGTGTAGCATATGCTACTGTTAATATTTTTAGGTCAAGAATACACACACACACACACACACACACACACACACACACACACACCTCCCTACATACTTCCGATGTGTGTATACTATCTCTGAAAAGGTACACTAAAAACTGATAATGTTGTGACATTTACTTTGCATTGTCACCCTTTCGTATTGTTTCAGTGTCTTCACATGAGGTGGGGGGAAGCAGTCTCAGAGACTGCTGACGAAAATGTATACTGGGCGATAACTGAATTTTGACGGTATATCAAAACACTGCAACCGTGCAGCACCTTCTCTAAAAGTACTCACGGATGTGTACAAACGTGTGTTAGCAAAGATATTCACTGAAGCATTGTTTAGAATAAAAAAGAAACAGTAAATGCCTAGCAATGGTAGACATATTAAAGAAACATTTAATAGCATGAGAAACTTTAGAAGATTTAAATGAGGACAGGATGAAGAACAAAAAAACACTACAAAACAGCATGATCTCCCTTTAAAACATCTGTATATTTATATCTGTTCGTAGAGGGGGGAAATTAAACCGTCCCCATGCTTTTTTTTCACATTGTTACCTCTTCCAAGAATTTTCTTCCTCTCTCCATCCTCACCTCCTTCCATATCCAGGTCCTGCCTGAAGTGCTTGCCTCCCTCTTAGAGAAGCACAAAGGCCCATCTGATGCTGTAAACGTGTACATTTGAACAGACTTGATGGCTGATCTGTGGATGGAAAAAGAAGGTGGGCTCATCCAGGATTAGGGTGAGCCAGATGGATGGTCAAGGAGGCAACGAGTTGAGAGTGATAATTAGCTGAGGTGGAGGGAAGGGGAAGGAAATACTTACATTAAACACATTTTTAGTTAAATTATCCGTCCTCGTGTGCTGTCTGTTGCCTCTCCCTTGGTCTGGATGTGCTACAGATATTTGAGGCCGACAGCAACAGTAAAGGTTTGCAGTGCATAGGAACACAAAGCAGTCTTGTTTTGGCTAAAATAAGAAACAGCAGGAATATTTGAAATG